TTGAGGCAAAGGTAGAGACAGATGGGAAAACATGGACAGATGAAGAAAGAGAGCGAGAGAGAGAGAGATGAGATGAGATGAGATAAGAGGACGGATAGAGATTGAAGAAGAAAAAGAGACAGAAAGATATAGATGGAGAGAGACAGCTTTGGGGAGAGAGAGACAGACAGAAAAAGATTATATGAGTAAGAGAGTGAGAAAGATTAATGTGGAGATAAAAACAGATGATGGAGAGAAATAGTGACGGCAAGAAGTGGATGGGGAAGAGAGATTTTGAGGGAGGGAGGGAGGGATAAAAGAAGAAATGGATGGAGAAAGCAGAAAGACAAGAGAGAGATGAGTGGAAAAAAGAGATAAGTGGCAGAAGAGAGAGACAGGTGGAGGGACAGGGAGACAGACAGAAGAAGAGATGGATTGAGAGAGAGATAGATAAAAGGAGAAACTGATGAAGGAAGAGAGACAGGTCAAAGGAGAGAGAGACAGACATAAAGAGATCGAGACAGATGGAAGGAGATAGACAGGTTGAAAGAGAGAGACAGGTAGAAGGAGAGAGACAAGTGAAAGGAGAGAGAGACAAGTGGAAGGAGAGAGACAGGCATAAGAAGAGAGACAGACAGAAGGAGAGAGAGACAGGCAGAAGGAGAGCGAGAGACAGGTAGAAAGAGAGACAGAGGAAGAGAGACAAGTAGATTGAGTGAAATGGATGGAGAGCGGGAGAGAGACAGATAAAATGAGTGCCATGGATGGAGAGAGAGAAAGATAGAAAGAAATGAATGGAGGAAGAGAGACAGACTAATGCAGGGGAAGAGACAGGTGATAGGAGAGAGATGGATGAAGAGAGAAAGTTTAGGATGGAAAGAGAATATAAAGATAGACAGAAAGAGAGAGCTAGATAGTGTGAGACAGGTGGAAGGAGAGAAATGGGAGGAAGGAGAGAGATGGATGGAGAGAGAGAGTTTATGGGAAAACAGATGAAAGGAGAGAGAGAAAGAGAGAGACAGGCACAAGGAGAGAGACAGGTGGAAAGAGAGAGAGACAGACAGAAGGAGAAAGAGACAGGCAGAAGGAGGGAGAGAGAGACAGGCAGAAGGAGAGAGAGACAGGAAGAACAAGAGAGAGAGAGAGGTAGATGGAGAGAGAGAGGCGTAAGGAGTGAGAGATAGACAGGTAGAAGGAAAGAGAGAGAGAGAGAGGGGCGTAAGGAGTGAGAGATAGACAGGTAGAAGGAAAGAGAGAGAGAGAAGGGCGTAAGGAGTGAGAGAGAGTGACAGGTAGATGGAGAGAGAGTGACAGGTAGATGGAGAGAGAGAGTGACAGGTAGATGGAGAGAGAGAGTGACAGGTAGATGGAGAGAGAGAGGCGTAAGGAGAGATGGAGAGAAAGCAGTAGTTATGTTCGATTGCAGTGTAAAGCTGAAGGAGGAAACCCGTCATGGCTGACGG